CCCACAGCCCCCAGCAGCGAGCAACACACAGTAGAGCAGCCCCCACGATGCACAAGCCACACGTACAGCCCCCGAAATCTCAGTCTGTTCACATCGATTCCACACCAGTCTCCACCACTGGCACTCGAACAAGAGACTTGCAAAGTTGCCGGCAGATGTATTTGATGGTTTCTATTTTGTAATTCTTGTCCACTTGTAAATTGTTTTTACTCTTTATACATACTTTTCAGACTGCCTTTCTTTTGTAATTTATGGAAGGTTTATAAACGAATGACCAAGCTTTCCCCCATTGTGTCTTCAAAACCTCTATTGTAAATTGTAATATATTAGTATGTGGTCCATTTATTAAAAGGAAATTACTCAGCGTGTGGTTACGTATCGTGTGCGTGTGTGCATGTGTTCAGTTAGTGTAAAATATTTTCTAGGAATAAAATTTGTTATTTTATACAAGGCCGTTTACTCTGTGTCTTTGTTTCAAGCGCTTTTTCATCAGAGCAGCCTCCCAGAACTCCTTTCTCCCGTGCGCACAGGCGACAGACGGCCCGCTCGGGGAAACGGAGGCAGTTGGCGCTGAGTGGGTGTCTCTTGTGCGCGAGGACCACTCTCGTACAGCCAAGGCTTCGAGGGTGAACCCTGACCGTATTTGTAACCTTTCCCTTGGCAGCTTTACACTTCAAATGATGGGACTAGAGAACACCGCACAATGTCGTGTACGTGTGAGATCCAAGACCGACCCACAAGAGCGAGATGCTGGGTGTCAGGGCCGGGGGGGGGAGGGGGGCACGGGAAGGTCGGAGGGCACAGAGCTTTAGTTGCCCAAGATGAATCCACCTTGAAGAACTAATGTAAAAACAGTGCTAGATTCAACGGCATGTCTGAAGTTAAAAAAAAGAATTCTAGTTCAAGAAATGCTGATTTTAGAAATTAAAGTCTACGCAACAGTGTGAATGCACTTTGCGCCACTACACAATTATGGTTGAAATGGCGAAGTTTCCTGCGTATACTTTACCACAGTAAAAAAAAAAAAATGTTGACAATTTCTCAAAAAAAAAAAAAAAATGAGCAAAAGTAGCCAGAACTACTGTTCCTCTACATCTTTGAAAAAATTTACAAATTTCCCAAAATATGTTGGCAAACCCGAGACAGTACGAGCTGCACTTAGGTTTGGCGAATACTACTGAACGTTTAAGGAATAAATGATGCCGACCGTACACAACTCCTGGAGAGAAGACAGATGCCCAGACCCCTTAGGTCAGCCATATCCTGATACCAAAACCAGACACGGACGTTACAAGAGATCTACAGACCAAGAGCACCGTGAATTGTTTTAAAAACCCTAAACAAAATATTAGCAGATTAAAACACCTGTTCAAGAAACTCGGCAAAGAAAGGAGTTGATCTCAACTTCATAAAATTAACGGCCAATCCCATACTTAATGGTGCAAACACTGACCGCTTCTTTCTTTCCATCAAAAACAACACAGGCGCATCCATTTGACTACTTGTATTCAACATCGTACTGGGCTTCCAGGCAGCACAAGAAGGAAAGGAGGGGAAAGAAAAATCACACCGTTTGGAAAGAAAGGAGCAAAATGGTGTTTATGTGCAGATGATATGATGCTAAGTCAGCTACAAGATGCTGTTGGAACTCACGTGCATTGGGCAAGAGAACTGGTACAAGGTCAACGTACACGAATCATCGGTATTTCTACAAACTAGCAGGGAACAATTAGGACCGAAATTAAGAGAGAAGCGGTACAGTAATAAAATAAAAATACATGTGATTAGTTATATTAGCATCAAAACCGTGACATACTTCAGGGTAAAGTTAACAAAATGTGAGCAAAACCTGTATACTGAAAAATAAAGAAGGTCACTTAGAAATAAAAGAGCTCTTAAATGGGATATGTTGGTGGTGTAGAAAATGCAATGTTAAATTTCCAATTTCCCCCAAGCGGATCTGTTGATTTAGTGAAATCCCAGTCAGAATCCCAGCAAGCTTTTTCTAGAAATTGAGGAGCTGGTTTAAGTCCTGATACAGAAATGCAAAATGATCTACAACAGCCGAGACAATTTTGAGAAAGATTGAACAGAGTTTGAAAAGAGTCACGTGGGGGCGCCTGGGTGGCTCAGTCGGTTGAGCGTCCGACTTCAGCTCAGGTCACGATCTCGTGGTCTGTGAGTTCGAGCCCCGCGTCGGGCTCTGGGCTGATGGCTCGGAGCCTGGAGCCTGCTTCGGATTCTGTGTCTCCCCCTCTCTCTGCCCCTCCCCCGTTCGTGCTCTGTCTCTCTCTGTCTCAAAAATAAATAAAACGTTAAAAAAAAAAAAAAAAAAGTCATGTGGCCCGATTTTGAGACTTGTAAGGCCACAGTGATGGACGGAGGCAGTGTTGGTTTTGTGTAAAATGCGCACGTTGAAATCACTGGGATGAACTGGGGAGTCCGGAAGTAGACTCATACGTATGTGGTGCGTTCATTTGCAGCAAAGGTACCGAGACAGCTCAGTAGGGGAAGATGTGAAGTATGGTCTTTTCTAGAAAGAAATGTTGCAGAAAGAGCTACTTACAGGGGAGGAGGTGGGAAACTGACCCTCCTCTCACGTGGTGCACAAAAATTAATCCCAAACAGATCACCGCCCTAAATGAAAAAGTTAAAACTATCAAGCTGCTAGGAGAAAACGGAGAAATTTGGCCAGAAAAAAGTAAACCCTGGTAACAGGACTTCAGCAGATTTAAAAATGTCTTCTCTTTGAATGATACTTAAGAGAACAAACAGCAAGCCGGAAACTGGGAGACAGCAGCATAATGCATAGCACGTGTATCTGACAAAAGAATTGTCTAGAAGGTAGAAAAACATTTTCCAATTCAGTAAGACCAAATTTTTTATTAAATGTGCGAAAGATATGAACTTTTTAAATTTTATTTTGAGAGAGCAGGAGAAGGTGAAGGGCGTAGAGACAGGGAGATTGGGGCGCCTGGCTGGCTCAGTTGGTTAAGCGACTGACTTCGGTTCAGCTCATGGTCTCACAGTTCATGAGTTCAAGCCCCACATCAGGCTCTGTGCTGACAGCTCGGAGCCTGGAGCTGCTTCGGATTCTGTGTCTCCCTCTCTCTCTGCCTCATGCTCTGCCTCTGTCTCTCTCAAAAACAAAAATAAACATAAAAAAAAAAAAAAAAAGATGCTCAACCAACTGAGCCACCCAGTGTCCTGAACTCGTATTTTATAAAAGATATAAGAACGGCCAGTGTGCAAGCAAAAAAATGCTCAGTATCGTTTGCCAGCAGGGAAATGCAGTTAATAACCCAAATGAGAGAACATTCTACGCCCACTGCTATGGGTGCGTTTAATCTTAGGTTCAATTTAAACATTTTAAAATTCTGTGAAAATTAAAAAGACCGACATCATCAAATATGGGGGAAGACACGGGGCGGCCGGAGTCGTGTCTTGCAGAGCGGGGCCGGGACGGCCGGCACTTGGGAGACAGCCTGGTGGCTTCCATCCAGTCAGACTCTTTAGCTCGCAGGTCTAGTAGGCCCGTGTCCGCGTGTCTGCCCATGAGAAATAAAAGTAGATACTCACGTAAAGCCTTCAGAAATTTCTACAGTTAGTTGTACTAGCCCCACGCGTGAAACACCCCAAATATCCCTGCGTTGGTGAATAAACATGGAACCGCATGGGACGGAACACAGCTTAGCAAATACGCCACTTACACAGTCACGTGGGTTTGTCCTTGAAACACTCTGCCCAGAGCAGCACGGGGTGCAGGATTTCGTGGTCCTAAATCCCAGAGCAGGTGGAAGGCACGTCGTTGGTTGCTTGGGGACCAGGTGGGAAGGACTCTTCGCAAAGGAGCAGGGAGGCAATAGACGTTTT